ATGTCCATCTGCAAGAACTTCTCTTGTGTAAGTTTTTCAACATTTTTTAACCATGAGATATACATTTTACATCATCTACCAATATACACATAAATTCATATAACCACTTAAGAGTTAGAGAGAATTTTCACCATGAAAAACTTACTGATATTCTTTAAATAAATTTATTGATTTAGAAGTCTCAATTTCTAATCTGCCCAACCTGTGTAAACTTGACTAATTCTCTTTAAGTAGAAAAAAGTAAAAGTTAATGCTGAGATGTTACCTTTTTACCTTTTTTAATTTGAACCAAAAATAACATTTCCTTTATTTTTATCATTTTGAGCTTATTAGTTTCCCTGTCTCTCCAAAAAACACAATCTCTCTGATCAAGTTAACACAGAAATTATTCCCTTGGAAGCAAATACAGAATTCCAGCATATTTTTGTAAATAGCAAAGGAGTAATTTACTAGTACTGTTTGATAGAAAAATTCTTTAATCAAAACAAATTTGTATGTTGACACAGCTTAGCTAAAACAATCTGTCCAAATTTTAATTGTTCCAAAGACCAAATAGATATACTAGTAAGAGTGTCCTCAAAACTTTGGGTCCTTGGTTCCATTGTAAGAACTTTCAAAATTAAAACCTCAATTATTGAAATAATTCAACTTTTTATCTATCGGTAAAAATCAAATTATCTGAGGTCAAAACATACAATGGATGCCACATGCAGGAACAGGTATTGAAAGCCTTTTTCCATAGTCACAGTCTCAAGACAGAAGTGTCTTTTAGCTACTAAAAACCCACCAACTGACCCGGTCAGATGATCTTAGAAATACCATCTGTTAAAAGTTAACCTTAAATCATTTGTGTTAACCTTGGTTCACCCTGATTCAGTCTGTATGTGTGAATATACAGACTTATCAAAACCCACTTCTTTGCTTTGTCTACTGGTCAGAGCAACTAATGATTCCACCTTGCAATCCTGTCACATGTACGTTACAGACAAAACTTCCCCTCAGATATAGCCATGTTTTCAAATAGGTTTGTTCCTTACATAGTATTTACTTCATAAGCATCATGGATTGTTTTCTAATTAAAAAATACTACTTAATGAGTGTGACTTTTTAAAAAGTTCAGAAATGTCTCAAAAGTAAACTTATCATTTAGTTTTCTGTTTCAGCTGCTGGTGTCTGTAAAGGGCCTTAGCTGGCTGCAGCCTTGAGCAGGTTTGTTCCTATACACACCCCTCTGCTCCCTGCAGGACAGTCCTGCGACTTCGCTGAATTTCCAGCCACAAAATTAAATTACCTTCTCAAGTTAATATGAGTCTTGTACCTCATAGAATTGTCAGTTCAATGTCAGTTTGATATCTAGTTGTCATACAAAAAGACACACGGACCGCACATTGTTACAAAGCAGCAAGGTAATGTAGCACAATGTAGACAGATTAATTTTAGATAGAAGAAGGGAGAATTATAGAGAAGTAACATTTTATCTGCCATAAAAATGTATAACTTCCACAAAAACTACAAATGGCGAAAAGACAGTCTGGTCAATCCAAGATTTGTACAAAACCCACAGTATTTGGGAAAAGAGGGAAGGTTTTAGACGAGTAGCAGTTTTAAAAGTGTAACTTTTTTTCTGCTCTCAATTACACATTAGCATACACACACTAATTGAAAATTTGCTGCCTTTTAGATTCACCACATTGACAATTTAGAATATTCATGTTAATAAAGTAGTTTTGAAGCTCAGGTAGAAGGAAAAGTGAAATATGATGCTAAGACAATCTGGCAAGTTTTTGCATTAATCCATAAGAAAAGGTCATAAAATGTGAACTGTACACTAGAAAAAAGGAGATAGAATAAGAATTCAACAGTATTTTCCAGAAATGTAGACTTGGCAGTTCATTTATTGCCCTAAGAGGAGATGTTACCAGTGTTGATTGTAAGTTATTGTGTCTGCTGCCTGGGAGGAAGACGCTGTCACAAAGAAAAATGAGAGCCAGTGGAGGAAGCAGTATCATGGAGGAAATGATCTGTAGGGAAACTTTAAAAGGGCAAAGAAACAGTAAAACTTCTCAAATTCTCTCTCTCTATAATTTTAGACTACTCAGAAGTATAATTTACAGAGTTGAGACATTTTAATTACCATTTGAAAAATCGTTTTTATACTAATATGAATACATCTTCATGTTAGTAAAAGCATTTTTTTATCAATAACAATTTAAATATGTGCAGAATAGCCTTATAGAAAGTACCGCTTCCTTGCTTTTGGGCATTTTGACTAAGTTCAAGTTGACATTCGTTTTTCAAAAATCAGCACAAGCTGAAATATTTCTGCATTTAATTTTCAATTAAATATTTGATTATTACCTGGAATGGAGTCTCAGAAATTTACTATTACAACAATTATGTTCATTTTAAGCCATCTATTGGGTGCCTTCTACTTCTCAGAAGAATTATGCCAATGTGCACATTCTCATAGTACCTGTTTACCATAAATTCTTCTATAGTAAATACATTAAAACAAAGAGACAAAAGCAAGGAAAGAAAATGTTGCTAACTTAATAGGGTGAAATCAAAACACCAGTATCACATTGTTGCTTTATTCATTTGTACGTTTACTATCTATTAAACACTCTGGGCTTCTAACGTGTGCGCGCCTGTGCACGCGCAAAAGCTCTTTATTATGGCTGTTTATTGAGATTCAGTATTTTTCCTTTTTTATCTTCACCCGAGGATGTTTTTCCATTTATCTTCAGACAGAGTGGGAGGGAGGGGGAGAGAAAGAGAGAAACATCGATGCGAGAGAGACACATGGACTGGCTGCCTCCCACACGACCCCGACCAGGGCCGAGGATGAATTGAATCCGAAGTACTTGCCCTTGACCAGAATCGAACCCAGGACTTATTGGTCTGCAGGCTCATATTCTGCCATTGAGCCAAACTGGCCAGGGTGACACTCAGTATTTTAAATCAACTTATGCATGAGTTATATATCTATATCTATATCTATATCTATATCTATATCTATATCTATATCTATATCTATATCTATATCTAGGATTTCTACTTTCACTTTAATATTATTTTGGAGATTTATCTCCCTAGCTTGCTGTTAAAGAGACTGTGACAATATACTGATTTTATGGAACTCCTTATTATGGTTAAAATATTCATCAAAGAAGTAAAATTGTAGGAGGCTCAGGGGATCCCTGGATCATCAAGGGAGCAGTAGGCATTTGAAGCCCCATAATGGAAAATGAGAACATTTAAAATGAAAATGAAAGGATGCCAAGGATAAATGTTGCTTGTGATTGCCTGGCCATGTAGACACTTACTAAATATTTGTTGACTCATTGCTTCTAAATCCTGCCCAAGATTTGTCTTAGGTCTATTTTACAGTCAAGATGTAGAAATGAATTTCTGTTCTTCAAGGGGAGCAAAGTATTTTTATTTTTTATTTTTTTGTAATTTCCAACTAGGTAATAATTAAAAATTTTTCTGATTCCAAGCTTTGAAGTAAAATTGTTGCCAGACCCAGATAAGCTTTGGTGGATGGTGTCCTTAGTAATAACAAAAGCCTAGGACTTTGGCTGTTTTGCTCATAGTGTTAAAACTTCCCGGCATAGTCTTGAGTCTTCACATGACATAGTATCAGGAAGGAAAGGAAACCACTGGCTTTTGAGGCTTAATGATAGCACCTTCTGAGTAGATGAGGCAAAGTGCGATGTAACCAGGAGACCTCTTGGTGAAGCCTGTAACTTGGTGGTCTCTCCTATGTTATACCATATGGGAAAGAAATAAGAGGATTGTCCCAGTTGGTTATATGTCCTTTTAAACAGGCTGCTCTGCTGGCCTTGATGGAAAGTTTTGGCTAGTATAATGAACCTCACCTTTCTGCTACTGAGTGTTCAGGTCCATTCTTAGATATAGACCAGAATTTACCTCTGGCCTTCTTAGCTTTTTGTTGTGGTAGATGATTGTATACAACCTAATTGTGTGAGATAAAGGTGAATTTTCTGGTAATTTTTGCCATCTTCACAATTAATTATGAACCAAGAAATGTCTGTAAATGTATAGTAAGGGGTACATGTTGAGGGGTGTGGGCTTGGGGACAGTCAACTGGACAGAGTCTTGATTCCACTGCCTACTAAACTGTGTGAATTTCTTTAACCAAGTTTTCCTCATTCATCAGAGGCCACACACCCTGTGATGTCACTCTTCCTACCTCAAGGCTCTCGCACCCTGCAGCCTTGTTCTGCTTTATTTCACTATATTTTGGTCTTTCTCAGAATTTCCTTTAAGTGAAGCTATACATTCTGGAGTCTTTTGTGTCTGGCTTATTTTCTACAGCCTAATGCATTTGAGACCTCTTCAATTGTTGTGTATATCAGTTGTTTCCTTATTATGTTCAGTATTCCATTTCATAAATTTATCACAATTTGATGAGTGTTTGGGTTGTTTCCAGTTTGTGGCCATTCTGTTTTCATTTCTTTTGTATAACTATCTGGGACTAAAATTACTGGATTTTGTGGCAAGTGGGTGCTTAAATTGGTAAGAAACTGCCAAACTGTGCTCTATTTTCAATTCCCACAAGTGCTCTGTGAGCATTCCAGTTGCTCCATGTCCACACGAACACTCGATGTTTTCAGCCATTTCAATGTATGCTACTATAGAATGTACACAGTGTTATCTCATTGTGACTAATGATAAACTAAGCATCTTTTTTGAGCTTATTTGTTATTGTAATATATTCCCCCCCCCATTTTTATTCATTTGTTTTTTGTTACAGATGTTTCTCCTTCCCCCCCAGACACCCTCATACCCTAACCCCCACCCCCACCCCTAGCATTGTTATCTATGTCCATTGGTTACACATACATGCATATACATTCTTTGGTATATATTCTTTATATAAGGTCTATTCAAATCTTTTGTCTATCTTTTATTGGATAGACTTATTTGAATTACATTGCAAATGTTCTTTACATGTTCTAGGTATAAGTAATTTATTGGATAAGTGAGGGATTAGATATTCCTTTGTTCCTTCTCAAAGAGTACACGCCTTGGAACTAATGTATGACCATCAACAACTGCAGTAATCAACAAACCAGGACTTGCCAAGGTGAGATGATCTGACCAGACCCCTACAAACCAGGATCCAACTTTGGTGACGCATAGAGTAGCTCTGTTATACAGGTCTTGTTTCGGTACAAGTATGAAAACTCTGGTTCAAGTGACAGGTGGTTGAAAATACTGCTTTTATTTTTGGCAAAGAATAGAAAGTCTAAACAGCAGAGATTTCAGATTCTCAGTCCAGAACCTAATCTCCATGGAAGCCAAGTCCATGAATCAACAGAAAGAGAGTTACTGTTTGACATTATTTTGAGATACTTCTTATTTGGTTGTGGAAATACTATCTAACAGCTAAAAAAAAAAATCAAATTAAACAATCATAGAAAGACCAAAGGGAAGCCCAAGACACTGTTCTCCCTAAAGCTTCTATTTTTTATGGCTTCTTACATCTCAGTAGAATTAGGGATTGTGAGTGAGCAATTAATCTCTCTATTATAAAAAGAGAAAACCATACTGATATTTTAGGTTTTGAAGCTATTATGAAATTTATTACAGAATGACGTCCAAGTAGTAACATCCATTTGATGAATCTCCGATCTTTCACTATAAACTTTGTCTGCATTTTTTCTGAGTAGAAAAGATAAATTTTGCTATTTATCATTTTCCACCCCTCTGTCACCTCATGTAAAATAACACTTTTCCTGCTCCCTGAAATCTTTCTAGATTGAGGCTTATCAAGTTATAATATTTGTTCATCTTCATATGGGTGTGATTAAATTGTGACAATTAGGATGATTATATGAAACTATTTTATTTGGTAAGTCTTTCATTGGATTTTAAGTTTAAAAAGAGTGTATGTCTATGAAGTTTTAAATGCCTAAAACTTACAAATTATTATTTTTTTGGCTCCAAGATATTTAGGGTTCATAGTTGTGGAATGAGCGCTGGGTGAGAGGACAGAAGACTTGCATTATGTCCCGGTCCACCAGCTCCCATCAATGTAACCTTAAGTGTATTTTCTATGTCTGCATTTTCTGCATCTGTACCACGGAAACCCAATCCCTGCCTTTCTAACCTCGCATGTTACTGTGGGATCCAAGGAGACAATGACCATGAAGACCCTCTGTACTTAGTGAAGCAGTCTATAGATTTGGGTTGTTATCATCTGCTCCAAAGCTGTCCCTTTAAAAATGAAGCGGCCAAACCCCTGGTTTCTTACTCCTCCAAGGTCAAGTAAAAAAATCTCAGAAATAGACAGTCTGAGTATAATATTTTAGAAGCACCCGAGAAAGCCCTCTGAACATTCTCGACTCTAGATTAGATCTTTTTGCCCCTCCACCAAGCTCCTCTGTCTATGTAAAAACTAAGTGAAACATCTATCATGTTTACAGTGATTAAGTGTCTTTCATACAGTGATCGCTCCTGGTTGTCCCCTTACAGCTACAAGAGGAATGCATTTAAAGGGACACATGCAATTTTTAGTTGCAGGCATAAACACTCATTCCACAGACTCCCTGAGTACAGCAAAGGCATGCCAGGTCCCAACAAAATATGGAAAATGCCATTGCTATAATTTTATGTCATCTTTAAGAGGTTTTTTGTTTGTTTACTTTTTTAATGGAGGAAGATCTTTCTCAACTTTCTTTGCTGTTAAATCTACAGTACTTAGAACTCACCCTGGTGTACACTAGGGTTCAATGGATACTTGTAGAATAAATGAAGCCTGGCTTTTACAATGAGAACCCAAATAAGCTACTACTACTAAAACTCACCTACATGGCCCTGGCCCGTTTGGTTCAGCAGTTATAGCGTCGGCCTGCAGACCAGTGAGTTGTGGGTTCGATTGTGGTCAAGGGCACGTACCTTGGTTGTGTTCATCCCTGGCCCTGGTCAGGTTGTGCGGGAGGCAACCATTCGATGTGTCTCTCTCACGTCGATGTTTCTTCCTCTCTCTCTCCCTCCCTCCCACTCTATCTGACAATAAATAGAAAAAATCTCGGGTGAGGATAAAATAAATAAATAAAACTCACCTATGTGTATTTAGAAAGGATGTGGTTGGCAGATTCAAATAGACTGTGTATCAACGATTGTATAAATAATACTGAGATTATGCAAAAAAAAAAAAAAACCCACCTGTCTTGGGGTTCCCATTGCTGGCGATGAAGCAAATGGAAGAGGGGTGGGGGAGAAGAAGGAGGACAAGGAGCAATGAAGATTCAACTTTTATAGAGACAAGGAGCAAAACTTTCCTCCGTAGGCCGTGGGCAGCAAAGGCTTCCTGAAGCAGGCAGAACATTGGGGAATGTCAACACTGAAACTGGCAATAGGAAAAAATCACAGGAGACTGCCTCTGAGACAAGGTGTTTAAACAGAAAATGTAGAAGGACGAAAGTTATGAAGTAGACCCGGCGAGGAACACATGCAGAGTTCTGAAAGGACGGCTCCCCAGGTGTGTTATTCATTATTTATTTATTTATGTATTTATTTTTATACCAAAACCCTTCTACAGAAACTCCACCAATGCAAAAAGGCAAAGCAATATTAAGTTACCTTACTGGTTTCATGTTTTTCAAGAAAGGCCTTATCTGATGAAAAGCATGTCCTTTGAGATCAAACTCTGGCTGAGCTGGTTACTTAACCTCTTGGAAACTCCGTTACCTCATCTTTCAAATGCAGATAATAGTGATAAAATAGTTAAATAAATCAGTACACAGCCTGATGGCTCGACGTGTAATTGTTCATTTTTTCCCTCCCTTCTGATCGTCTTTTGTCATGTTGATCCTCCCTCTTCTTTTCTTCTTTTTCAGGGAAAAAAGAACCTTCTGTACTAGTCACACATACTCTGTGAGCACTAAGGGAAAATTTGACTTAACTATAACTTTTCAAGTGGCAAGATCTCTGATATTCCCTTGGGTCTCTCTGGATGGTGAAGCTAAAGCAGTATGCGATGTGGCCCCTTCGCAGTACTTTGGGGGAGTCAGGATTCGTGCCCATGAAGCGAAGAGCCACAGGTAAGTGATGCAGCGCTAGGTTGATTGCAGGCAATCATCGCGTGGTACAGAGTCAAGTCTTTGGCCCGCTGAGAAGACGAAGAGCGATCCCACTTCGCAGTTTCAGTGCAGAGACTGGGTCTGCCAGGCGAAGGCCTTCTTTCTGGGAAATGAGCTGCTTTTGCAAAAGAAATGAGGGAGGAGCCTCCACACCCGCGTGTCCACGGCTCTGCGTCAGCCAGCGCCCCGTCTGAGTCCCAACGCACAAATACACGTTCTGTTAGGTAGATTCTGGGTAACTCTGGAGGACACACTCATTCCCAAAGAGCTTTTTAAAAAATTCTCTGAGTTCTTGAGAATGTAAATTTGCTCATTCTCAAATTTTTGAATCGTACCCAATTTGGGAACAGGGTATTTATAGGGTAGCATAAAATTAAGACATCCCGGTAGAGAAGAGGGCAAATATAATCCTATAGAGATAATTTCCTCAATTTTCACCTTCATTTCCCTCTCTTTACCCCCAATCCCATGCTATTGGTCACAACGGATCACCTTAGAATTAAAGAGAAACTTCTGCTATGTTAAAACTGTAATTAAAGGAAAAATGGGACTTTTCAGTTTTGTTAGTTTCTTGTCTCTGGTATAAAACTAGCTGCCTATTTCGTCAGACCGACCACCCCAAGGATACACCCTGCTGCTTCTTGGGGTGCATTACTGCCACCAGAGAATCCATATTCAAGGGGGTATTAAGTGCTACAAAGGTACTTAGCAGGTTTGAAACACCTTGGTAAGAGTTTGAGATCTCACAAAATATGGGGAGACCCAGTGTATTGAGCTCCCACTGGGAAAAACGGAAGTGCACATACATAGACCTTCTCTGCCAGCAGAGGCTAGTTTGGGGAATATCTGCTTCTGTTCCCCAAACCACCAAAAGCATGCGAAGCAATAGCAGCAAGAATAACATAGTCATAATTCCACTCGATGCAACTTTTATTTCATGCCTTCTGCTTTAATATTCAAGCACATATAACATTGTTTTGGAACCCAGATAGCGTGCCCGTGAGTCAGTTTTCCATGGGACATTGTCACATGATCCTAGGGACCTCATAAAAACATAGGTATGGGGATAGAGATACAATGGAGAAAAAAGTTACTCAAATGTCAGGGCACCTAGGTAAACAGATGTTTCTGGTTTAGAGGTCATCGTTAAGCTTGCTGCTATTACAAATCTATTTTGCAAAAGAGACCCCAATGCAAATCACAGAACTTCCAACAGCATGTCACTGTTCTGGTGGAGGTGAGCGGCAGCATGCACATCTGGCTGGCTTGGAGAGAAGCTAGCAGCCATCCTTTCCATTAAGTGGGCGCAACTTGCTTGTCATGGGCCTGGCAGGCATTTTTAAAGTAGAATTGCTTTCATAACTCATGCCAGATGCCAGGTGGATCTATAAACACAAGGCAGGTTTCAAACAATCTGGTTGAACTCGAAAATATTAATGCATCACATTGGAAACTCCGTGTTCTACCCATTTAGCTTTCCAAAGCATCAGCCATGCAATTTTAAGGGATGGATTCCTGAGGCTCTGGTGTGGGGACAGTGGAGTGACAGCTGGGGACGGGGCTGGGAGCTGTGATGTGACAGGAATGGATGGGGCTCCTGCCAGGCAAAGAGGCTGGAGTGCGAAGAGGAGTTTTCTCCTGTTATTTAAAAAACAACAAAGCAAAAACACAAAGACTGTGATCCTAAAGAATCATTGAGATGAAACAAGGGTCCCCTATTTCTGTCAATGCCAAGTAATAGTGGACTGGAATCTGTGGGACGAGCTGTAGACTCACCTCTTTCAAGGATGAGGGGAACGCCCCCTGCCTTTCTGGGCCTGTGTTTGGTCCCATACGCACTGGTAGGGTTTATCTCTGTGACTGCCCCCTGGAGAGCTTAGGGACCCCACTGTGTTTCTGCAAATACCTGTTTGCTTCCATTGCGATCTCTGTTTGGAAATGTGTTCTTTATGTTGTTATCATTTAATTTTAAATTGTTGCCAAAGGAGATGATGTGTAAGCTTATTATTGAACATATATCCTGTACTTGTTGTTCATGTGTGGAAACACTGACTAGACATTGAAAGTAGAATTCTGCTGCATCGGAAAGAGAGAGGGTATGGAATTTGAGGACATCAAGGAAACTCTGGTTAAATTCTGGGTTTGCATTTTGTAGCTGGGTGACCTTGAGAAAACCCTTTACATCTTCTGAGCCTTGATCTTTATAGCTATAAAATGGGGCTATGGTTTGAGAGTAAAGAGCATAATGCACGTAAGATATTTAGTATAATCCCTGGCTCATAGAAAACTGTAAATGTTAGACATTAACAGTGGTTACTAATTAGAAGACTGTGTTCCCATACACTTTCAAAAACACTCTAATCTGGCCAACTGGATAAAATTGAGTAAAATATACAATAAGCATGATGGCTTTGGTGCAAAGATAAAGAGAATTGGTAAATAATTAAACTGAATGTTTATCAGTTCCGTCGATCTGGTGGGCTCCACACTGCGGTTTCGGGTCACAGAGCCCAGTGGGCGTGGCCCCTGGAGGAGGTGCCCTAGGCTTGGGGACAGCCTGAGCAGCAGGGCTACAGGCAGCCCTCTCTGTGGCCAGCCAGGGAAATGCAGAGGACAGGCTCCCGAGTCCCGGTCAGCACCCTCCTGAGAGAGGGTAGGAGTTAGGTGTCCAGAGAGACCTCTTCGATTAGGATGTCTGAGCTGAGTCTCAGGGGTGGGAAGGGGCGGGGAGATGATTTCTAGACAGAGGATCAAACAAGGTGAACCAAGATGCGGAGGCCTGAAGATGTCTGCAAGTTTATTGCTAGCAGCAGGTGTCAGGGTGGCTAGGAAGAAGTATTGCTTTGGGAATGTGGGGAGAAAATGGACTGTCCAGGAACAAAAAACAGGTAAAAGGATGTGGATTTGTTCTTTTTTGTTTTTAAAGGAACATTGGTCCCAATTGAGACAGCCCCATTTATTTATTAAAAAAAATTTTTTATTGTTGAAAGTATTACAGATGTCCCCCTTTTCCCCCATTGACCCCCCTCCTTCCTGCTCCCACCCTCCCGTGTGGATTTGTTCTTAAAGGCAAACTTTGGTAAGATGGTTCTGCTAGTGAGCGAGTGGAGAGGTGCGGGGCAGGCGCGGGGGAGGGGAGGGTGGATGGAAGTAAAACAACAAAGCAAAACAAAAACCCAATAAGGATGTTGTGGCTATAATTCAGGCGAACCTGATGATGACATGGGCTAAGGGGATTGCAGATGAGGGGAAAACAACTGTCAGGCAAAAAGAGAGATTAGGGTGGTGGAGCACACCGGCATGTGAAGAAGATAGGACACAAAACAACACAACCTGTTCCTTAGCATCCTTCAGGAATTCTCTTTGGATTTTCTCTATCATCTCTGTAGCTGACCAAGTGCCTGAAGCTGTAAAGGTATCATGTCTTAAGGCAACTTCCGAGAAAATGTGCACCACCGGTGTCAGGTCCAGGAATCAGAGTATCACTTTCCTCCACCCCCAGGTACATTGGTGATTTCCCTCCACATTAAAATTCAGTTTGGCCCAGCCCGTGTGACTTGAGTGTCGACCCTGCACCAAGAGGTCACCGGTTTCATTTTCCATCAGGGTACATGCCCTGGTTGTGGGCCCGATCCCCAGTGGGGGGCATGCAGGAGGCAGCCAATTGATATTCTCTCTCATCAATGTTTCTATCTCTCTTCCTCTCCCTTCCTTTCTCTCTAAAAATAAAAAATCAATAAAGAAAAAATAAAATAAAATAAAATAAAACTCAGTTTGATATTCCTTCTCATAAACTACACCTAAACCTAATGTGACGTTTGGGGTAAAAATTAATTTTCTAAAATACTAAGCCTGCATTTAAGGGCCTAGGTAAAAACCTTCAGCTCAGAATAATGTCATACCTGCCTTTAAATTTAGTTCATTTCTCTGGACCTCAGTTTTCCCATTTATAAAATAAATGTATGTTGGTCTAGAATTTTGTTCTTAACTCTCGGGCCACAGGAAACTCTTTGAGAATGCGCCTTTATTTCCAGAAGAATGAACATGTACATAAACAACACCATTCCGGTTCAGAGACATTCTGGTGAGGTGGACGTTCAGGCGGGGCCGGGAATGGTTGGATGTTTAAAGAAAGAGGCTGAAAGGTGCTTTTGCATTTTGGTTTCTGACTTGATTAGTCTTTCCTTACGCATTGCTGTGTTAGTGACTGAGATTAACTGTGACTGTCAGGTTGGGAAAGTGGTCAGCTCTTGACAAGGTCATGGCAGAGAACTTGGAGTTCGTTTTTATGAAGAGAAAATGGAGAAATTTTAAAACTATGCCTTATAGGTGGTTTCATTATTGCTTAACAAAATAAAAATGTGCATTTATTTTTCTCTTTAAAGCATCTAGTTATGAATCATTTTCCAATTTGGGAATTTTCAAAATCAAACCACTTTTAAACCCCTATCAAGTTCTTATTTGGTTATTTCTTTGGTAGTCTAAAGTTCTCGTCCTCTTCATAAATCTAATATTTGACTCATGAATAAATGTCATAAACAAATACAGGGACAGAATTATGTATGAATGTCAGAAGTTATATTTAGTACAAGGTTTCCACCCACTGTTAACATATTGTGGTTTCAGTTTAAAATGGAAAATGCACTTGGTTTCCCAGGATTCCCAGAATTTAAAATACCCAACGATCCCTGGCCGGGTTCGCTCAGTGGTTAGAGCCTCGGCCTGTGGTCCAGAGAGACCCAGGTTGGGTTCCCGCTAAGGGCAGGCACCTCAGTTGCGGTTTGTCCCCGGCCCTGGTTGGGTCGTGTGGGTGGCAGCCACTCGATGTGTCCCTTTCACTCCAATGTTTCTCTCTCTCTCTCTCCTTCCCACTGTATCTGAACAAAAAATGGAAAAAATGTCCTCGGGTGAGGATAAAAAAAAAAACCAAAACAAAACCAATGAATCAACAAAAC